AATAAATGTTTATTTAATAAAATCAATATGTCTTTCGATACAAGTAATACATATAATTATTAAATGTAACAATACCAACCAATTAATACGAGACAAGTTAAATATTGCGCTATTACTGTAATACGAAAGAATTCGATTGAGTAATAAAGAACCTATCATGATTCGCAATATTTAATGAAAGAATTAAATTCTTTAGAAAATTCGTTAATACATTTCCAATAGATTAAAATGAAAAAAAAAAATTCCGCTGCACTCAAAAAGGATCCTAAACTGGTCGTTTTTGGTTTGCTCGATTCAAGGCTCACATCTCATTCCATATAAAATATGTTAGCGATCTCTTGCAATGCAATTTTTAATTTAAATAGTAAAATTTAATTGCGAACTGCTATACATTACCCTAAGTTTGTAGCTAAAAGAGGATATAATTTATTCTTTTATAATAAATAATGAGTTTTGCTTGACACTCATAATTCTCTTTAAATTTACAGATATTTTACATTCCGAACTTAAATGATATTTTAATTTTGTAATCAAAAATTTCATGAAACGACAACTACTAATATTTTATTCATAAATAAAAGGGCTAATTAAAATACAAGAAATTTATAAACATAAAAATAATAAATAATAAAATAATAACGTTTGAAATTATTTATATTTCAATTTAATTTGACATTTTTCACCGGTATTCTGATTTTCAGCGGTAGCTGTTATTTCTACAGTACCAAAAGTTAAAGTTAATAAAATAGTCGTATCTTCTTCATAATTATCAATTTCAGGCAATTCAATTTCCCAATCACGAAGTAAACTAACACCAGGATCATCACAAAACTTTGCATCAAGTTCATTTGTAACATAAACATCAAAACCAATGTTACGTTGCATTAACGAATATGGCTTAAATTGTTTAATTACTTTGTCATTTGGTGAAATTTGTTTACCACGCCTTGCAAGCGCTTCAAAGATTATTGTATATCCATTTGGTAGTTTTTGTGAAAGTGGATCATTTGGTAATGACCGTCGTGCAATATCCGTTCCTACAAAATATAATAAAAGCATTAAAGCATATTTATTATTAAGCATTTAATTAGCAATGAAGATGATAACGCACCATATGTGCGTTTTAAAACACGATTTGCCACAATATCTACTTGGAGTCCAAATTGAACGGCTCCTTTTACGACCGCAACAATAGGTTGCGTCGGTACAGAAATATTCGGCACAATTTTGTTAAATTCCTTTCTAATTCTATCTTGCAAATATCTAGATTCACTAAATCCTCCAACTAGCATGATTGAAGAACACTTTTTATCATTATTTTTTAATTGATCCATCATCAATTTAATGATATCTCCTACAAATGGATCAAACATTGTCTTAACATCATTAAATTCAACATATATTAGCCAATCATCTTTTTCTAATAATCGCTTTTCTTTTCCTTCGACAATTTCTTTTAAGTGATATTCTTCCAAATCTATCTCGTAACGTTGAAACTCGTTTTTTTGTCCTGTAAAAGGAATTTTCACACGTCTGCAAAACTCTTGTACCATATATTGTATGGAACTATAATGATTTGTTTTCAAAAATTCAACAGTTTTTCCTAATTTACGACTAATAAATTCTATAAATTTTTTATCTATAAAACTTGATCCACAATTTTTACCGGAACGTTCTGTTATTTCACTTAATCTGCTATTTTGTAATAATTCATGTCTTGTCAAATCTACTGTACCACCCCCACAATCCACAACCATAAATGAATCTGTAAATAGCCACAATACATTAAAAATAATTATAAAAGGATTAAAATATGGATAAAAAGATTTCTTACAAACCTCCAGGTTTCAAATTGTGAACTTTTTCCAAAGAATTCAAGCAATACACCGCAGCTGCTTCAGCTATTTTTTTTGATACAAAATACATTATGATAATATATATATATGTTCACCCTTCGCAAGAAATAAAACTATGTACTTACGTTCTGTAGTAAATATCAGATTCCTACTATTTTTCTCGTTCATTAATTCCGCCAAAAAAGCACATTCACGCATTATTGCGATTGCATCATCATCAAATTCTGCCGGGATCTTTTTATAAAAACAAATAATAATAATTAGATAAATCGCCGAAATTTCAATACAAAAACTATTAACATACCGTAAGTACAATCAACACTTTACTATAAAAGTCTAAATTTTGCCAATGAGAATCTACTCTTTCTTTAATCATTTTACATAATTCTTTCAAGTAATCCGTAATAACCTTTTTATAATCCAAATTTTTGGGCAAATAAGATTTTTCCGTAGAATCTTTAAATAAAAATAATTTAAATAGTTCTATAGGTATAGATTTATCAGCATTTTTCTTTTTTTTTGGTCGGTCTGCAAATGCTTTAAACCCCCAAGATTTTACATTAGTGTATGATTCGTCTTCATATTTTATAATGGTTGGGGTTTTATAATCCGTGAAACCTGACCATTTATCTTCTGCAGAGATTTCTTTGGGATTAGATTTATGAGCATAAGCGTATCCCTAAATGGATGGAGTTATTTAATAAAGTTAAGAAATTATGTATTCTCAAGAGAACTTTAGACACATACAGAATAGGTTGTACCAAAGTCTATATAAGAGTCGTTTTTAAAAAATTCAATGATTAAGGTATTATTTTGAAACATTAAATTTATAATATCGAATGAATCAACCGATGTTTCAATTTGACCTACCAATTCCGACAACTACTCTAATATCTTCCTTTGAAGAGGACATTTTTTTTATAAAAAAAAATAAGGTAAGTTCTAATACAAAATATTAAAGTTAGTTTTATCAAAAAATGAAATCATTTAATTAATCTATTAATATTCCACAACATTTTTGACTTTTTGTCCTTTGTCTGTTGAAGTATTACATATTATCTTGAAATGCAAACAATTAGTCCATCTATACAAAATTGATTTTATCCCGTTCAATAACATTAACACAATAACACACTAATATTGTGATATAATCGAACGTTACAAATTAACCTATTATAAAAATTATTTGAAGTTTCATATAAATATGTTAAAAAATTAAAAACTTGAATATTCAATTTTTAGAAATGTCCTGGCGAAGCGATATTCGTATTATAATTGGTTTAGGTACATTAAAAAGATTTTGTAACTTGTTTTTTCTTTTAAAACGTTCATTGATAAATTTTAATTTGATTTCAATAGATTTTGGTACCACTTTCTCAGTAAGCAAAGTTTGATTAAATCATAAAAATTATAATCAATAATTAAAAAAATTGCATTTTACAGGGATTCGCTTACTGTCATGTATCGGACGCTAATGACATTTGTACAAATGACAAGTGGCCTGGGGAAGCTGGTCAATTGAAGACAAATACAATACTCCAATATGACTCTAACTTTACAAATGTCGTACAATGGGGAAATCCAGCATTATCTAAACGACCAAGTCGAAGGAATAGAAATGAACCGAAACCTATTGAATTATTTAAATTGCATCTTGGAAATTTACAGGAAAACCTTAGACCTAAACTTCCAGTTGATTATAAGAAAGCGATCACGGATTACCTTCGTGAATTTGGAAAGGTAAGAATTAATCTTTTTACGTCAACGCATAAAAAAAAAGTTATATTGTAAATTTGTATTTTTAAACATTATTCCTAATGATCTAATATAAATGATCATTAGTTAATCAATGTAAGGATTAATGAACGATGGACTGGAATTAACTTTACCGAACATGTTCTTTTGGTTCTCACCGTTCCTGCTGAATATACGGAAAAAGACAAAGCTATAATGAGGGAATGCGCATTTAATGCTAAATTAATTGGAGATAAATGTTCGCAAAAACTACAATTTACCACAGAACGTATGTAAAAAAAAGATATATGTTTACAGGATAAAATTTGTTACAATTTAATTTAATAACTTATATTTTTCAGCCGAAGCAGCAGCGCTTTATTGTATGGAAAATAAATTAAAGGAGTATGATTTGTTAACTACAGGAAGTAAGTTACAAATACAAATTAGTCTACTTAAAAAATTATAAATAATTTATTATATTTAATTTAATAGCGACTTTTATGATCGTTGATTGCGGAGGTGGTACCGTCGATTTAACTACTCGCAAGCTAATTGGAACTAAACAATTGGGAGAAATCACCGAACGTATTGGAGATTTTTGCGGAAGCACATTTATTGATAAAGGATTTGTTGAATTTTTACGAGGCAAACTTGGAAGTCGCGCAATTGATTTATTAATGGAAAACCAATATGGGCAATTTCAATATATTGTTCAAGATTTTTGTCGACGTGTAAAGATGCCTTTCACAGGAGAAGATGAAGGATTTCTTTATGAATTAGATATTGAAGAAACTGCTCCAATTTTATTACAGTATGTTAGTAAAGAAACCAAAAATCTTATGGAAGATAATGAATGGTTGATCGAGATCAAATATAACGACGTAAAAAAAATGTTCGATCCTATTATTGATAGAATTATTCGTATGATACATATACAACTTTCAAATAATCAAGGAGCGTGTTCAGCAATGTTTATAGTTGGAGGTTTTGGTCAATCAAAATATTTACAAAAAAGAATTAAAAAAGAATTTCAACATAGAGTGAAAACAATTTCAATTCCTAATCAACCCGTGGCAGCAATTGTACGCGGAGCAACTATATACGGATTAAGTTTAAAAAATTCTTCTAATACAGATAAAATGAATAACCTTAAGTTCATGATTTCTACACGTAGGTTGAAGTATACATACGGAGTACGAGTATCTTCATTATGGAAAGAAGGAGACCCTCTTCACCGTAAAGATGCAGATGGACGTATGACTATTTTCAGAAGTATTGTAAAAAGAGGAACAGAAGTAAAAGTCGACCAAGAATTTAGTTCAAGTTATCTTCCGGTCAATCCGACTCAAACGGGAATAAATTTTCTGGTATATTATACAACAGAATATGATGCAACATATTGTGATGATCCCGGAGTAGAATTATTAGGAACACTTCGTATTGACCTTCCCGATGTTCATTTAGCTTGTGATAGGCCGGTTACCTTTGGGTTTTCTTTTGGACAAATGGAAATTACAGCATTCGCAAAGAATGAACTTAATGGACAAAATTTCCAAACAAAGTTTGATTTATTAAATGATCCTTGAGAGCGTTCATTTTTTTTTTAATTTTGTACTTATCGTTATTAATAAAATTTAAATAATAAATAATAATATATAAATAATATATATATATATATATATATATTTGTTTATTTAATGATAAGTTATAAAAAAATTCATGTTGAATTTTCATTTCGATTTGATTCGGTTTATTCGGACTTTCCTTTAGCAATATTAAAAATACTCTTCAACAATGATGATTTTTTAGATTTTGGAAAGATTCTAGCGGGCGTATAAATATGTCGTTTTGACTTATTTTTGAATTCTTGTGATATTGTTGGAAAGTAACAAATATCTACAATCAAATCATCGATTTCATCATCATCCCACTTTCCTTCCATATAACTAGTATCTATGTTAACGTTAGGATTAACCCAAACAATTTCAGCAACTGGTTCCTGAGTTTTAACTCTAAACCAAAATAAACTGATTATTTTTTGAATAATGCCAGACGCCATTTCTTCGATTTCTTGTTTCTTTTTAGGATCTTTAAGTATACGATATTTTCCAATTTCATCATTTAAAACAGATTTAAAATAATCAATAAATTTGTGAGGCAAAATTTTTCTACTATCGGTAATCATATTGTTAAATCCTCTGTTTCCAAGTGCTCCAAAAATTTGTTGACGTAATTTAATAGAAAGTACTTTAGTTGTATCGTCAGTTCCGGTACGTTTTATTGCGAAATCTTCTGTCAAGTTTATAATTTCATTAGCTTTTGCATATAAAGTAGTCTCGATACCATACAATTTTCCTTGAAGGTCTTGATAAGAAAAATATTCTTGCGCAAATCCAATAATCTTTTCAACGACATGACGTTGTAATACTGCTTTAATTAAGGGTTTATGTTCTATTGTAATATCTGTTTGACTTCCGTATTTTATCAAAAGTTTTTGCACTTCAGCAACATTAATTTCTATATTACCCTTACATTTTGTAATGTAATCTTCTAAAGAATCTTGTAAACTTAAAATATCATTTTTAAGTGTAACTGAATTATTTTCGTCATTATCTGACAATCGTAAATTAGTTGCAGTTCCAAGAGCAGATTGATACTTTGAAGCCTCTTCTTTTAAATCAATATTTATTTGCTCTAAATCATTAATTTCCTTGTCTTTTTCTTTTAAGCGTTCTTCTAATAATTTAATTGTTATAGTGTTATCATGAAATTTTTGATTCAAATTATTAAGTCGCTTTTCGAATTCCTCATTTTGTCTCAAATTTTCAACGTTATTTTGTTCATTTGTTTTTTGAAGTTTTTGATTTATCTTCTCTAAATTTTTATATTTTTCTTCGAATTCTTCGAGTTCTTTTTGTTTTAAGTTAGAGAGCTCATTTTGTTCAATTTGTTCATTAAGTTGCTTTTCAAGAAATTTTTGAATCTCTTCGCTACGTTGTCTCAATAAGTCATCTTTTTCGGTTAAGGCTCTAATACATTCTTCTTGTGTGTATTCTGTATAGCCCTTAGGCAGTAATTGAGCATGTGCAACACTTTGCTCATTGTTTAAATTAGTATAAACTACGAAAGTATCAGGAATTTTCGATTGATCGGTAGGTTCGGGTTGAATATCTAACATAGAATCAGTTTGATTATTATTATCAGTTTCACCAGATGGAATTGGCGTAAGATTTGTCATTTTTTATTTTTTTTTTATTTTATTTTTTTTTTTACAAAAAAAAAAATAAAATAAAATAAAATAAAATAAAAATAATCTGAGAAGATGTTATCAATGTTCATATTTAAATAACTTAAATTGCATAATATGTGATAATAAGAAGTGCCGACATAAAAAAATTACGTGACATTTCAATAAAATAAATAAAAAGGGTGTAACTCGGTTTATTCTCTATATAGTAAACGTTGAAGTCGTGAAACAAAAGAAAAATATTATAATTTGTACAGATTAAATATTTAATGGTACTACGCCACTAGTAATGTATCACGTAATTCACCCGAAAAATTTTGTTAAACAAATTAATTAAATTCCATGTGTGTTTCCATGAATTGCTTGTGCTTGTGTCTTGTCTTTTTTCTTAAGATTGATAACAAAAGGATGGTCTTTTGGATTTATAATCTTTATTTTTTGTTAAAAATATACCAAAAGAATACGTTTTACTTGACAAAATGTATCATTATCCGATTTATCACAAAAGGATGTATCAAAAAAAGATCTTGAAAAAATTTTGTTACATGTATTTCAAAATTCACGGATCAACCTCATTTTTTCACAAAAATTATATAATAAACAGTTAATAAATAAACTTTCTCTTTTTACAAAATTCTCTTTCTCTCTCTCCACCCAAAATTTTCAAAATATGCCTCCAAAAAATATTTAGAGAAGCACATCCGTTCGGGCCAGGTACGATGATTTTCTGCGGTGACAAAATACTAATTCCATCTGCGGTAAAGATAAATTCTGCAATATGCCGTGCATTAAAAAAAGTACTTTGTATGCGGTATTTCTGTGGTGTTTTTATTAGATTCTGTATGAAATCAAACAAATTCTGCAAAAATTAAGCTCTAATTTAACATTTAATCTTTACCAAATTAGGAATTTTACATTATTAATGCTGGTTAGATTTATCTAATTCGTTAAAGATCTATGATCAGCACTAACTCTGGTACTTGATTATGCATTTTCGTTCCTGGTTCTCGCTGAACAGCAAGAGAAAGTGAAAATACAACAACTTGTTACCACACAACAAGACAGTCTACAACAACAATAACAACAACAATCTCTGAAATCCCAGAAACTCATGGATATGAAAACAACTAATACTGTTATCAATACAACAATTGACAAAGGAAAACAACAACAAAACTCTTGTTAAAAAAAAAATTAAAACTTGAGATTGTTCAGATTGTTCCTAATTTATTCAAAAAATTAAAAAAAATTAAATAGTATTAAATTTTAAATGTGAGATGGTCCTGTTTTCATAGTTTTGTTTTTGAATGCTTGCTGTTGTAATTTCCTTTATTTTCCCTTTGCAACTTTTTCCTGTTGGAATAATAAATCTTGTGAATCGTCATTTGTTATATGATTCATATTTTTTTTGTATGAGTTTTTTTTTGTATGTTCTATGGTGCATAACATCTATAGTCATCAAAAATTTAGTGTAAATTCTAAATGTATCTAGTTTATCATTTTATGTATTATTAAAAAAATAAGCCGATTTTTATATAGATTAGGTTATGGTCTTTCAGAAAATCTGCTTATATTTTGAATTATAATTTAAAAAGTTATCGGGATTTTAAAATAGGGTACATTACTAATAATTGGCCAAATTTCGGACTAACTTTGCAGGGGTATTTACATGGGTATGTAACTATTTAACCAATAAAAACGCGCGATTTTATCACGTGACGAAGTAATTTCTTCGCGCAATTGCACTGAAATTTTATAAAATGTGTTGTTATATAAATTGAACAATAAAATCTGTATACGCGATTTATATTAAAACATTATTCAAAAGCATTTAGTTGCTATTTTATTTTATGTTTAAATAAAAAAAATGCCACCTTTTTCTAAACAAAAAAGAAAATCAAAAGACCAGCCACACACAAAAAATGGCCAATACTATACTAAAAGAACACAATATACAAGCATGGATGATCATAATTTACCGGATACCTCAATGTCAGTTAATGATAATTGTGTAAATGTAAAAGATTTCCAAACTGAAATAAGTGGCGCAGTTACTGCGGCTCACGAAAATGGTGATAATGGTAATGAATATATCGATCTTGATTTTGAATTTCTTAATGAAGAATGGGGTGATGATGAAGATAGTGATGGGAATGATACTAATGATTTTACAGAGTTAAAGGTGACCAAATTGGTTTGGAAAGAAGATAATCAATTTGAAAAAATAAAGCGTGGAATATATATAAAAGGAAAGACCTCAAAATCAACCTATTATGATAAATATGGACCAAATGGCACATTTACTAAGGCAGCCGCTAGTGTTAAAAAAATTACAAATTTTTTTAAAGTTAGAAGTAATACTCAAGATAAAGCTCAAGATCCGGAATCAGAAATTACAAAATCAGATTTAAGTGATTCGGATGATGAAATAGATTGCCATACTTATCAAATTAATGAAAGAATCCAGTTCTTAAAAGAACAATTAGAAAAGCAACATAATAAAATGACAGTCATTGAATATAATCAAAAAAGAGCTATTTTTGAATATCTTGTTCGTTTAGATAGTAATGGATGTGAAAAAATGTATGCTATTTTGGAGGCAGCTAAAATAGTTTTTGTTGATGATGGTCCATGAAAAGCACGATATATTCGATATTTTGCAAAATACTGGCTAATTAATAATGAACTTCCGGTATCTAAACAGCGAAAACATCAAAAAACTATTAGAATAATTGATGATGAAGATATAGCTGAAAGATGCCAAATCTGGATTTGTAAACAAAATTATAAGTTTACTCCAGCATTATTTAAAAAATTTGTTGAACATGAACTATTACCCAGTATTAATATTATAAAAAAACCCATTAACTTGATGACAGCAGTAAGGTGGCTTAATATCCTTGGTTACTTATTTCAACAACATCATCAAGGTATATATTATGATAGGTATGAACGAGATGATGTTGTACAATATCGTAAAAAATTTCTAGAGGAAATATTTGAGCATGAGAAATATATGTCTAAGTATGAAGGAGAAATGATGGGTCGTATATATCCTAACTTACCTGAAGAAGAGAAGGAACGAATTCTTATAACTCATGACGAATGTATCTTCTATTCTAATGATGGTAAACGTGGAGTATAGGCTAAAAATGGAGAATTGCCTCTACGAAAAAAGGAAATGGAAGATCCATAATGGTTAGTGAATTTCTAACTGAAGTCGATGAACGTTTATGCCTACAATTAAATGATATAAAAAAATATCCAAATGTACCTAAGAAAGCACGATGTTTTCTCAAACCTGGTAAAAATCAAGAAAGATATTGGACTGCTGAACATCTTCTTGAACAAATTAAACACAAAGCAATACCTATTTTTGAACCTTTGTATCCAAATTGTATTGCGGTATTTGCTTTTGACAATAGCTCTAATTATACTGTATTTAGTAAGGATGCTTTAGTTGCAAGTAAAATGAATTTAAAGCCAGGTGGTAAACAACCTATTATGCATAACACTTACTTTGGACCAGACCGCCAGCCACAATCAATGGTATTTCCAACTTCACATCCCGATGAAAAACTTCGAGGTCAGCCTAAAGGAATCAAGCAGGTATTAATGGAATGAGGAAAATGGCTACCCGAAGGATTAATATTAGAGTGTAAGGACTGTAAAGAAAGGATTAAAAATGCTTCAAGAATTTCTTGTTGTGCTCATCAGGTAATATCCTTAGAACCCGATTTTCTTGCACAAAAGGGAGCAATTGAAGAATTAATTACAGAAGCCGGACATAAATGCATATTTTATCTGAAATTTCACTGTGAGTTAAACTTTATTGAAAGATATTGGGGAGCTTCTAAAAAAATATGCACGAGAGAATTGCGATTATTCTTGGAGTGGATTACAAAAAGTTGCACCTAAAAGTCTTAACTCTGTGCTTTTAATTATGATTAGAAAATTTGCAAGGAAATTTTGGCATTACATGAATGCTTATAGAAAAGGGATTAGCGGAAAATTGGCAGAATATGCCGTTAAAAAGTACAAATCCCATAGAAGAATTCCAGACACCATTTTTGAAGAATTAAAGAATTAATTTGTTGCGTTTCTTAATAAAAGTTTTTTTGATCCAATAATATTTAAATCACGTGATTGTATCATGTGAGTATTAACCAATAATATTGACTCTTGTGTTAATGTCATGTGATAACCATCGTTCAAAAATTTCGGACTATTTGATGACTATTGATGTTATGCATCATATACCAAATTCATTATCTTGTAATTCAGATTCTTCAATTCTTACATTTGTTGCATTCCCTCTTGAATAGAATAATACTTTAATATGCTACTTTAAAAAATGTTTTTGTTAGAATATATTTATGGCATTTTTTGCATACAAGACTATTCAAAACTATTGTATGAATCTGAGATAATATTAGGATAATATTTATTATAACCTGGTAACTTTTTAATAAAATATTCTAAAGTATAAACCAGACTTAAAAAATAACCATTAATGCCTTGTATAATAGGTGGTAAAAAACTATTATTTGTGTATAAAAGATCATAGATTTTGGATGCACATAGTTATTTGCAATACAGTCAACCCTTGATATAACGAATTTTATGTCCTGAACTTCAACTTCGCTATAGAGCTATAGTGAATTTTTTAAAGAATTTGATTGGCTAGTTCGTTATAACGAGGGTAAATTTAATATAGTTGTCCAAAAAATTCGTTATATAAAAATTCGCTATAGAGAGGTATGACTGTAACTCCAATCATTACACTTTCTTAAATCAAAAGAATACTTGCAAATTTGGCTGTATCTATCAATCAAGTCCCATGACTTTTCATTTATATCTATACATGTTATGGTAATTGTTTTACTAAAAACATAATATGAAACTCAAAAAATGTAATACAAAACATAAGTACGTAATTACATCATCATGCGATTTATAATTTTACCAAAATTAAGAATTTAAGCTAAATTTTAATGAATTTTAATTTAATACAAAATTTTAATATATATTAATAATTTTCTGTAATATTTAATATTGTAGAAATTTACTAGATCTATAACTTTACTTAGTATTATAAGTCTTATTTAATTATCAAAATCGTGTAATATTTTAAAATTATTGATAATTTTGCTAAATATTTAAAATAATAGCAAATCTAGCCTAATTAATATAGTTTTATGTATTAATTAAAAATGAATGTAGAAAATCAAAAAATATATAACTTTTATTAATAACAAAATATTAAAATACTTATTCCAATTTTTTTTTTGATATGGCTCTGCCAACTATTTTATTAAGATTTATAGATTATTCTGAAGAAAATAAAAGAAATTATATATAGTGAAAACAAAACAAAAAAAACTATCTAATAATCTAGACTAAATGTTAGTTACTTCTATTAATAGAATATATAAACATACCTATCTATCTAGGTTGACCTATCATCATCAATTTCCTCCTTTAGACCCAAAGGAACTAGCCTAATGACTATTAAAATCATCAAGAAAAGAAAAAGAACATGTCAAAACTGGTTTAAAAATCCATCCACTTATATCCATATGTAAGGGCAAATTGAATCCATAATTTCCAAGTATTAGTTGGAGCTATGCTATTATTGTAAAATAAATGTTTGCATTTCTTCTTCATATTTTTCATGTCAAAAGTAATATATTTCGATAATTCTTTAGCATTCATAAGAGAGCAGCGATATAACCAAATTTTATTGAATAGTTATTCATAAAGAGCAACGATTGCAGTTAGTGTTCTGCAAAAAATCTGATTCAATCTGACAGATTCAGATTTGGATTCAGATTCGATCCGTCGGATTCGGATTTGAATCCAAATCTGATTTGTTGGATTTGTAATAAAAAATGCCACCCCAAAGTCAGACGTGACATTTATTATTAAAAAAATTTAATTTTTAATAATAAAATGCCGCCCGAAAGTCAGACACAGCATTTATTATTAAAAAATTAATTTTTATTAATGTTTAATAACAAAATGCCGTCCCAAAAGTCGGAGGCGGCATTTATTATTAAAAAAATTAATGTTTAATAATAAAATGCCACCCTAAAAGTCAGACACGGCATTAATTATTAAAAAAATTAAATTTTAATAATAAAATGCCACCCTGAAAGTCGGACGTGGCATTTATTAATAAAAATTAATTTTTATTAATTATTTATATAAAAATGCCGACCCGAAAGACGAATACAGCATTTACTAATAAAAAATTTAATTTTTATTAATTTTTTATGTAAAAATGCCGCCCGAAAGATGGATGCGACATTTATTAATAAAAAATTTAATTTTTATTAATTTTTTATATTAAAATGCCGCCCTAAAAGTCAGACGCGACATTTATTAATAAAACAATTAATTTTTATTAATTTTTATATTAAAATGCTGCCCCAAAAGTCGGATGCAACATTTATTAATAAAAAATTTAATTTTTATTAATTGTTTATATTAAAATGCCGCCCCAAAAGTCAGATGTGGCATTTATTAATAAAAATTAATTTTTTATGTAAAAATACCACCCAAAAGACGGATGTGGCATTTATTAATAAAAAATTTATTTTTTATATTAAAATGCCACCTGAAAGTCAGATGCGGCATTTATTAATAAAAAAAATTAATTTTATTAAATTTTTATATAAAAATGCTACGTCTGACTTTTGGGGTGGCATTTATTATTAAATAAATTAATGTTTAATAAAAAAATCTGCTCCGAAAGTCGGACGCGGCATTTATTATTAAAAAAATTAATTTTTAATAATAAAATGCCGATATGAACATCAGAGGCAGATTTAAAAAAAACAACAAAATTGTTGTTTTTTAATATTAAAACGCCGTTCTGAACAGCGGAAGCGGATTTTTGTTAAAAAACAACAATTTTGTTATTTTTTTAATATTAAAACGCCGTTCTGAACGGCGGAGGTGGATTTTTGTTAAAAAATTTTTTTTGATCCGTCGGATATGGATACGAATTTGGATTTGTCAGATTCAGATACAGATTAGGATTCAGATTTGTCAGATTCAGATCGAATCAGATTCGGATTTGTTGAATTCAGATCGAATCAGATTCAGATTTTTCAGATTCGGATCGAATCAGATTTTGCTCAAATCTGATCCGATCCGATCTGTGCAGAATACTAAGTTTAAGTATATTTATTCTATAGAAGAAAAAAATACGAATAATTAAATTAAAGAATCAGGTTATTTTTATTAATATAGATTTAAAGAAGAATAAATTATTTTATAAGCAAAAGTAAGTTTTAAAAATAAATGTTATTGATTGATTAGAGAATTGTAGCAATTCTGCTTTGCTTTTTAATCAAGATAGAAATACATAATATTTATATAAAATATATCAATAAGAAATAGATATTAAAAAATATAAGAAATGTAATCAATATAAGAAATTAAATATATTAGAGAAATGTGAGAAATT